ACCATATAAGAATTGTATTTCACAAAGAGACTTTAAAAATAATCCTTCACTATCAGTTATCTTTGCCTCCTCTGAACACTATTCAGCAATGTGGTTAGACCTTCTAATGCCTTGAAATCATCTACTTAAGCTCAGCAAAAAAAACATTTCTGCTCAGAGGAAAGCAGTTTGCTGGATTTAAAAAATTAAAAAAATCAGAATCCTTAAAACAAGATTTCTGTGTAGCATATTCAGAAGTTCCCACCCTCAGTAATTTATCATCAGGAAATCAGTTTTGCATTGCTTATCAGTCAGTATGCAAGAAACCATTTTTGTTTCATGCTCCAGCATTTCTTCCTTTAAAAGAAAAATCTGAAACATCATAATGAAGGGTATGTGCACCGGGAGGATAGATAGTGCTGAGGGTGTGGTTTTTAGGTATCTTGTCATTTGGATTTTTTGGTCAGGATCCTTAATGTTTTGCATCAGCTTGGGCTTTTAAATTAGATGTGAAGTAAGACTTCTTTCTACATTTTTATAGTTAATTTAGTGAAAGATGTGAAAGTGAAAGCTTGTGAAAGATGCTGGGATTGGCAGCCCCGCAGACTGAAGTCCTCTGTTCATCCACAGAACAGGTACAGCACGGGCAAGATTTACCCACCCACCCTCAGCCCTGATCTGGAGGGACCACGAGTAGGGGTGGGAGGGTAATTCAGCTTCTGAGGCCCTTTCACTCCTTGGAGTCTTTGCTGAGGTTACTTAACAAAGGTGACTACTGCAGTGAAATTTTTCTTAAAAAAAAAAAAAATAAATATATATATATATATATATATGGAAACACAATTAGGAACTAGATGGACATTTCCAGCTCATTTCTGAGAGACCAGTGAACAGCAGTCAGTAATTCTTGGACTTCTTTTTCTTATTTCAGATCCAAAAAGCTAATCCAAGAATCTGATCAGCACCTGAAGGATGTAGAAAAAATTTTGCAGAATGACAAACGGTATCTAGTACTGGACTGTGTACCAGAGGAGAGGCGTAAACTGATTGTGGCATATGTGGATGACCTGGATCGCCGGGGTCCACCCCCACCTCCCACAGCATCCGAGCCCACGAGACGATCAACAAAGTAATTCTAAATACTCTTCCACAGGAGTATCTATTCAAAACGCTTGCATGAGCCAGTTTTCAGGTTTTTTCATATATGTGCATTAGTCAACCTATTGCAAAACCATCTGATAAACAGAAGGAGAAGCATTCAATGAACAGTTTCTGAACAGAGCGCTTTGGAAATATTTATGCTTTTCTTTGTGTGGCATGACTGACATACATACTCAAATACAGGCTGTCTCTAGTAAATCTAAAATCATACTTTTATAAAGAGGTGTGGAAGTCAGTAACTTGGTGATGTTCTTTCTAGCAGTGTTACACGTGCAAGACGTAGGAGAATTTATGGTGTGAACTTGCAAGGTGGATTTACCACAGACTCCAAGAAAACCTAAGTTGGGGTTTGTTTCGTTTTGATTTTGTCTTAAAGCGGGTAAAAGAGAAAACACTGAAAATTGAATTCTTCCAGAGGTTAAGAGTATTATAACGAACATACTTTTACCTTTGTCTCTAAGGAACAGGTTAAGTTGTTCACTTACATGCTTTGATTATCCCCTCTGAATTATAGGCCAAGTCTTGTTTAGCCTATGAGAAGATTTATTTAGTAATTTCTTCTCAGGTATGGAACCACATTCATAATTAACATGTTGGCCAGAATAGATCTGCTGGTTATACATATTTTATTCTCTATTGAATGATCTTTGCTGATATTCTGAATTAGACAACAAATTGCCTTTCTGGTGTTCTCTGTAAACTCTTCTCCTGTTTGAATGTTGAACTTTTGTTTCTAAAGTTTAATTTTAAAATGTTTGAATGTTCTGTTTATGTATTTGAACTACAATAAACCAACTCTTTTTATATATGTGGATGGTATATGATTTTGTTACATAAACTGTTTTAAACCAGTTTTTGCAAAAGAGCAGCAAATGTGATTTGGCAGAAAGAAAATTAACTTTAAATCTTGAATATTTCATAATTTTTAAAGGCTTGAATATAATTCTGTATTTCACCTATGAAAAGGAAGAAACTTGAAGAGAACCCTCCACCTCCCTCCGCTTTTTGGAGGGGGATTAGTGCTCAGGTCTCTTGCTTTTAATAGCAAGATGCTTTTTTTTGAAGTTTTCTTTATCTTTATATCGATGGTTTGGGCCTTTTGGACGTCATGTGTATCACACCTTGAAAGTAATCTTTGATTCCCAATTGCTTTTTCTAGCTTTGTTTTTGTTTTTTGGGTTCAAACTGGGGTTTGAACATGGGGCCTCACAGGTGTTCTACCCCTTGAGCCACTTTGTCAGTCCATGATTTTTTTCTAATTGTTTCCAGTTTCAGAGTGCTGCATAAATGTATAAGAAGTTACATACGAGATACGTTCAAAGGATCATTTATTTCTCCTGCCACCACACAACTACTATGATTGCAATAAAACCTGGAAAGGAAATACCAACAGTTATGTATTTGCATGTTCTGTGTAACACAAATGTTCAAGTCCATATTACTTAGTACTTAGCTTTAATCTATTAAGTGTCCTAGAAGTTATGTGAGCTCTCTCTCAAAATCTGGCATTGATGGATCAGACTGAGGTCTTAACCTACAGAATTGATAAACAGTATTTATATTTTCTTTTTCCTCCTTTCGAAATTTGTTTTTATAAATTCATGGAGTGATTCACATTTTATGAGGGTGAAATTGAAGAGCTTGGGTTAACAGGAACACAATTATTAGAGAAATATGACTGTTCTGCAAAGGTGCGATTTCTAGAGTTTTGTTATTTTGAATTCCACATAATGTTTGAGCATTCACTGCATTCTGTTTCTCACTGTAGAGAAGAGTGAAGAAAAGGCTTGGTGAGGTCTAGTATCCTGCTTTTGCCTTAAAGTGTTGGGGTTTAATTGTGCATATAAGGTGCAAATCCCGCTTCTTTATGCAGAGTCTATTAAGGGATCTCAGTCAGGACTCTGTCAAGTGCTTCATGAAAGGTTCCTTATAATTGTACTTTATTCCAGTATCTCTGCATCTTGATGTGCTTGTCTACATTTTACCTCCACCTGTGATATTGTTAAGATCACATCTTCTCATAAAGCCCCATTGTTCCAGGTGACGATTTTGAAATAATACAAAACTCACAGCTTTAAGTCTTTAAAAAACTATCTGAAGTAAAACATTGCTTTTATTTCTTTACAACATGTCCACTTACATACCACATTTATGTAATACTAATGAATGAAATTTTTTTACTTCAAAAGATTCTTCACAACAATTTTAATGGTAATCCTTCATATAACTATGGCATCATAGAGCAGTATTTTTGATTCTTGGGTTAAATTATACTTTATTTGAATTGGAGAAAAGGGCAGAACAGGTTCTTCCCGGAAGTGAGGGGGGGTGGGGGGAGAGGGAGGGGGCAGGGGGAGAAATGGCCCAAACAATGCATGAACATGAATAAATGAATAAAAAATTTAAAATAAACATATTCTTATGAGCTTCAAGTAAAATTTCTAATAAACCAAGTAAAAAGAAAACAGCTCTATCTTGTGTTAAACACTAAACTATGAGCTTTTGTAAAAAAAAAAAATAATAATTCAACCTTCCTCAGTCTGAATATTAAAAGTTTTTTCATGTTCCTTATTGCTTGTTTTAAAGAACTTTTTCTTCCTGGGGGAATCCAACATTGAAAATACCCGAGAGTTCCATTAAAAAGTAATCAAGAATTGTGAATAAGTATCTTTTTTTACTTAATGGGGGAAGAAATGTGTCACATTATGTCTTATTAGGTATGCTTTATCTTGCTACAAAGTGAAGTTACTGCTCATTCAAATTTTATCATGTATTAGGAACACATTTGATTTCATTTGCTTTTCACTCTGCATTAACTTTGTGATTTTAATTTTTTGTTCTTAGCCAAACTCTGTCTTAGGCTTTTCCACACTTGTTACTATTGATTACTTTCATAAGAACCCTGCAATGAGTTCAAGTTCGGTGTTACTGGTAAATTTAATACTGTTTAGCAAGAAGGGTTTTGTATTTGAGGCTTGCCTTTAATCATTAGTTAATACTTTTATCATTAGCTGCAATTTATAGTTTATCTTGGGAGAAAAGAGATTAGGAGGAACAAATTTCTGCTTCTAAAATAACTCCTGCATGTTGGGAAGAAGACGTTTAATAATTCTTTTTTCTACATTTAGGATCATGTTAAATTGCTACAGTTTTTTGACTTTGAAGCTGAAGACTTCATACTGAGGGTTTTAAAAAGATCATAGAAACAGCTTTTACAGAATAAGGCAAAATTTTAATTTAGTTAACCTTGGCTTAAAAGAGCTGTGGTTTGAAATTAGCTCACAATTGGAATAAGGTGGTGTTCCATAGTCTGTAAACCTTGGTCAGGAAAATTATATGGGCTTCCGTCAAGTAAATGAACATTCATTGAGCAAAGTTTACTCTTACAGAAAAAGCTGGAAATAGATTTGAGCTTCGGTTATGTGGAGTAAAATGGGATATTAGGGTTCACAGGTTCAGGAAGAAACTGAAGTAAATGAGCACATCCTTTAACAGAGACAAGCTCTACTCCAGCCAATACAGAAGAGGCCTAATCCTAGGGTCCACTGGGAAAAGCCCACTGTGAACAAGTGACCAGATGGCTGGCCTCTACTCACTGACAGCAGCATCTTTCTACAAGGCTTAGCTCTGGGCAGCCAGTTTACAATTCTGAAGCATAATCATTAAGATATTATACGATATTTTACTTACCAGATTATACATTTTGAAAGTGCAGAATTGGAAGCATTTCTGTTATTCCTAATGGTAATAATTTTATATTTTATATGGTAAAGTCAGCAGCATCTATAAATAGCAGTATAGGCAAAGACAATGATTACAATTTGTTACTCTTTGAAACATAAATCTATCACAGTCCTCCCTTAATCTTCATGCTCCCAGGGGATAGGGTCAGTGTCTTGTACAGAAGGGACAGTGTCCCTCTCGTGCCAGAACTGCTCTACATCAGGGAGGATGGGGATGTCTGCCTTCTCAGTTTTCTCTTTGCCCGAGTTGGAAGAGCTGGGTTTCTCCTCTGGAATGGATGTTGGGGACTCTGGAGATGGAACCTGATCAGGAAGAGCTTCCAAGTTACCAGCTGGTGGTTCTTGAGACTCTGAGGCAGTTGCAGTTTTTTTGGTTACCATCCATTTCCATAAGCCTTTCAAGACTTCCTTGACCTCTTCTGACATCACTAGAAAAATGAGAGGATTTACTAAAGAGGTGGAAAACATTAGGACTTGAGACAGGGCTATGAAACCTTGTGGTGGTCTTGGGCCTTCATCCTTCAGATGCCATACCCACAGCCAACCTATCCATTCTGGGAGCCAGAGGAGAGTGGAGGCGATGGCCACGCTCAGCAGCATCACTGTGAGTTGCTTTGAACGCATCTGGTTTCGAAGATTTTGAGTCTTAGTTCCCCGTTTTCTACATTGGTCATAAGCTCTCCAGAAATAAAAGCTGGCCAGAAGTGATGGAAGGCAAAATACCAGGAGAGGATAGAGCTTACCAAACATTGACATAAACTCTTTGGCCACAGCTGGTACATCCATGAGGCACATTTCCACACCAGCATGTTGCCTGGTGGTGCTAAAAAACCATTCTGGCAGGGGCAGCAGACCAGCCACAGCCCAGATGGCCAGCAGCACTGACCAGATGGTGCAGTTATGGATATTTACTTGCTTGGCTGGGTCACTTGCATACATGAAGCATACTTTGGCCACTGCAACAATTGTCAGGCTCTTAGCTGCCATGCATACGTGGATGAACCAGTCAGACGACTTGCAGACAAACCAGCCTAGCTCCCACACACCCTTGGAGTATGCTGTAGCTCGAACAGGTGCAGAAAACAGCAGGAGAGAGAGATCAGCCAGGCTGAGATTCAAAATCAGGGAGTGGATCACGGATGGCTTTCCTTTCCAAGCACTGTGAAGGAGGATGCCAATCACACACAGGTTCCCCACAAAGCCCACCAGGCAGACAGACACTAAGAGAGCCGGGATTATGTTCCTCCAGTCCTTGGAGTCAGAGGGTAGGTACCCTCCGGCAAAGTGGAGATGGGTAAAGGAGGTGTTCATGATGCTGGAGTTGGAGTCAGGAAAGGCAGCTGCCAGCATCACCTTTTTCTGTCTTGCTCCTCCGTAGAGGAGTTAGTGTCTTTATGTTTGAATTTCTGCCTTGGCTTTTTTGCACAGGAAAAAGCTCTCATCAGTGTTGAATGACACCTCTGGGCCCTCCCCTTGCTTGTTTCCCAAGAGCAGAATGTGGAAGAAGATTGGCTGCTAAACTCTTTCCTGCTGCATGCATCTACCTGTGGCTGCACTGAGTGACCAGCAGCAGGAGCTCATTAGCAAGTTTAATACCAAAATACCAGCCCTTAGAGAAAAATATACCCATAAATGATAAATGAGGACATATTCCTGGAGGGTGTTGTAGGAGAAGATCACTAGAGCCAGTGGCAATTATTTTCAACTAGCTATTTCTACAATCTTGGCCGTAGTCTGTAATTCAGTAAACACTGCATCCAAACCAAGTCCTTTAGACTTAAGCATGCATCAGAATCTGCCGGATGGCTTGATCCAGTAGGTCTGAACTAGGGCCCAAAAATTCGCATTACTAATAAGTTCCCACCAGGTGTTGATGCCACACCACTAGTTGGGAGATCACACTATGGGAATCAAAACTTCTGCTCCTTCCCTCTTTGCAAACATGGTTTCTTAATCTAAGGTTTCCACCACCCCAGTTCTATCAACATCTGGCTAATAGCAAGCACAGCTGGATCATGAAAAATGTTGAAAAGAAGTCCCGTTAAATGTAGTTATGGATGACTGTTAAATTTAGTCTATTGTGAGTTTTTTATTTGTCATCTTTTGTGGGTATTGTGAGTTTTTAGAAGTGATTTTGGAGCTCTGGATTACAAGTGTTTCTCATACTATAAGACTCTCAGCAAACAGTGACAAAGACAACCAAATGAATGATAAATCAAGCTTTTCAGAGATCTAAAAAATTTACTGAGATGAGAAAAATAAAAGAAAAATCAACAATTTCTATGCTGAAGGCATTTAAGAAGTTTAAAAGATGACATTTTAAAATTGGAAATTTTTCAGATAAAATGGCTCTAGAACCAGTATAAAATTGAAAAATATAACTGAACACTGAGGAATTAGAGGAGCTAGAACTGTGCAGAGAAAGGAGCTTGCAGAGTTGAACTAAAGATACATCCTACCTCGAGTGTGACTGAATCAGAAACATTTCTAGGATGGAGAGAGTGCTGGGCTGGGAGTCGACCTGGAGTCTCATACTAATTCTGCTTTTGCTAGTTTTTTTCAGGAAAGAAAATTTCACAAAGCCCCAGAACTCAGTAAGTACTGACTGGTAGAGCTCTGGAGAAAGCTGTCAGTGGTGCTGGGTTTGCTTCCATTTCTGTTTCCCTTTCTCTCTGCGAGGCAAGCTAGTGGTTCCCCAAGACTAGGAGTAGGAAAAGGCACAAAGAACCTCTTGGGGGAGATGGAAATGTTTTGAAATTTGTTTGTGGTGATGTCTGTACAGCTGTAAACTTACTAACACATTGAATTGTGCACTCTGTGAATTTGGGGTCGTGTAAATTATACCTCAATAAAGCACTTTTAAAGAAAACAGTTACTGGGATGGATCAGGGAAATCTGTTTAGAATGTCAAGTAGCCTCCAGCAAAGGGGATGTTCTGTTCTGAGACTGAGAGATTGTGAGCTTAGGAGGATAAGGCAAAGGAAGATGTACGAGGGGAACAAAGAGGAATGAACGCCCAGAAGGTAAGGAGCTTGTAGCCCCTGATACCTGGTTCCATCCACTCTCCTGCTAAGGCCAGCTGCCACCCCAAATGCCTTGACTGGGTCCCACATTGCCTTTCCTGACAGGGATACCACCTGCCATGATGCTGCCAAGAGGTAACCCTTGGAAATTGGAGAAGCAGTAATACAACAATGAAAAATAAGAGCCATATACATCTTTTTAAAAATTCTACCTTATACTCAAAGTAGAATTTATATTTAAGTGGCAAGGACTTCAGCCAGCTTAATCTTCAAAAGATCTCGAAGCAGCTTTTAACTGGCTTCTAATAAAAGCAGAGCTAAGTGTGACCTCTTACCAACACTGGGTGAAGTTTATTCTATAGCTCTGTTCTAGGGAAGAGCAATTACAGAGTGGATCCCGAGTGCCAGCTTCTGGCTTTGTGCCCCCTGTTCCAGGCACTTGGAGCCCTATGACAACTGGAGAGGGTTATGATTATTATCCCTCCTTAGAGTTGGTGACACAGCTAGCAGAGGATAAGGATGGTATGGAAGCCACATGGGTCTGACTCCACGGTTGGGGTTCTAGAACTTTTCACAAGCTATGTATTGTCCTTCCTGTCAAAGTTATGGAATATTGTTCTTTTAGCAACCCAACTCTCAAATTAGTATAGTTCAGTTCTACAAGCATTTGAGCATTTTGACACTGGGAAAATGAAACTCTTGCACATTTCCTTCAGAGAGTATTTACTGAACCATTCTCTGCCAGGCATGATGCTAGACCCTGGGAACTGTGGGTGGTAGAAGAATAATTTTTCTTGAGCTATAATTTAATGGGAGACACAAACAGGTCTCAATGCCAGCAAAATTGTCATTCAGGAGTCCTGGCTGCTGTGAATGACTGGAAGAGGGACATCAGACCCACACCAGGTGTAGGGTTAGGGAGGGTCCAGCAAAGGCTTCCTGGAAGAAATGATCTTGAAGTAGACCCTAGCCATGCACCTGCCTGCTCATCCCTGCCAGAACCTTTTTAGGAGCAGCTCATTGCTGTGTATTCAGTCCCTCTGTATTTAACATCACAGAACAGCTGCTGCTTCTCAGAGAAGTGAGTACTGTTTATTTCCCTTTCTGAGAGTTAATCTCTCCATCTACCTACAGGTTTCCAGGCTTTGTAAGGAAAGCTCCACAGGCACCCAGTGACTTGGGCTGGAGAGTTCCAGAGCATGCTCAGCTGTGGCTCTGTGTGGGTGTTGCATGACTTAGCATCCGTTTTATGGGTCTTTACCATTACTTCCTTCCCACCCCCAACATGTTTCTTTAGCTGATGGTTTGCTGAGCCTTCCTTTTTTCAGTCCCCTGGTTGTGCTTATTTTGGGACTAGTTAACGTTGTTTTTGTGGAGTCTATCTTTTGCTATAAGGCCCTCCTGAATGAGATGCTGGTTACTCACTGCCTGGTGTCCCAGAATGTCATTCCAGGCTACAGGCATGTGCAAGTGAAGTGACAATCCATCTCTAAGGTGAGTGAATAGGTCTGACTAGGACTGAGCGGCCATTTCTCTTGTAGAAAAGCCACTTCTGCTTTTTCATTTTTTTTGTCAGGTAGTCCTTGTGTGCCACTTGAGGGACGCAACTGTGCTGTTTGTTACAAGGCAGTCATCAGCTCTGGCAGCTGATGGTTTTATCATATTGTCTAATAAGCCATTTCTTACCTTTTTGCTTCTGTCTCCAGACCTGATACCTATATATTTCAAATTCCACAGACCTGAGTTGGTGAGAGTCAAGGACTGGGAGTTAGGAGATGTGAATCTTTTCTCTAAAAAATGAGACTGTGAGGCCAGAAGGGGACCCCTTTGGATTGCTGTGGTCACACCCTCATTTTCCAGATGTGGAGTAGAGCCATGCTCTGAACATGGGAGCAAATTGTCCTACAGAGGTTGGCAAGGCTCAGGCTGGAGTCCTGGAATCTTACTGCCAGGTGGATATGTTTTTTTCTTGAGTCTGTCTTTTTGCTTTGGTTAATATCTCCCGATTTTGACTCTGTGGAGGATAAGTTTGGACATAAATGTATTGGCTCTTTGGAAAACAAATGCAAAAAATAAGAATGTGGATGCATTGTGCCAGCTTGTATAGAACTTTAAACTTTCTTTTTTTGAAAAATAATTCATAGTCCTATCCAAACATGACTTTGACTGATATTGAGGTTATGTGTCTTTATACCTTTTTTCTTCTTCCCAAAACTTTGTTTTCTTTTTATATTGTAATGCAAAGTGTAATTGCAACCATGATTTTTTTGTAATGAGGGCCCCTAATCAACCAAAAAGACCCTCAAGAGAAGTGACTTGGGGATTAATTACCCGCAGTGAAGAAAGACATGGGTCACTACTTTGTAAACAGAGCTTTTTCAGCAAGCAAAGCACTAAAAATATCTCTATGCATCCAAAACAGTCCTGCTTTACACACAATGAGCTCATCCCTGGCTATGGATATCTTGTTTCTATGTTGTTATTACTTACTGAATGACATATCCATTATGTGGAGGAAATTTACTTGTTAAAAAAAAGTCTAAAAATTAAAAGTTCATTACCAGTCTTGCAAGTAGTACACACCTGTAATCCCAACACTCAAGAGACTGAGGCAGGAGGATCACAAGTTCAAAGCCAGCCTGGGATACACAAGGGAAATTTTCTTTAAAAACAAAAACAGAGTGCTGGCAGAGTGGCTCAAGTGGCAGAGTGCCTGCCTAGCAAGTGTGAGGCCCTGAATTCAAACCCCAGTACCACCAAAAAAGGCAACCTCCTCCCCCTCCCCCCGCAAACAAAAGTTCACTGCCACAACCACCTTGTAAAATGATTTTTTTTTTACATTAAAAACCTCTAGCTTCATTGAGCTATAATTTGCATACCATACAGTTCACCCATTACGATTCAACGTTTGGGGGATGGCTTTTCCTATTCTGCCCACCCTGAGTGGATAGCATGCTTGGGATGGGCTTCTTCTGCAGACTGGAGCTGTTTCCATGATTACCAAACCTAGCAGGGAGTATAGCAGGACTAGATGAGCTGGGGAAGGAAGCTCCAGTGTTCAGAGATCCAAGGCTAACCTGATTTCTCAGTGGCATGCGTACAAAGCAAAGTGCACTGCCTTCCCGAGTCTTTTTAAATAAAGAGAGGGGCCTCGTAGATCTGTGAAGGTTTTGCTTTCATGATTACTCTTGGGGGAAAAGAAGCTTTGTCATTTAAACTGAGGGAAAACCTGAATAACAATGTGCTCTTAATTCCTGAATAAAACCTTTAGACTTCACCTACTTAGTTACTTGCTTTTTTAGCTGCAGCCGTCTTCACCTGCTCGTA